TTTCCATTCTATTGATGATTGGTATGAGATCTTTGGTCCGACAGCAGAGTATTATACAACTCAAACGGATCAGCAGTTTGAACGTTGAGGACCACTGTTTGGGATCTTTGTGTAAGAAATCATAGCCCCTATGAAATACCTTTCCGTGACTACACGTCCAACCGCTCAGTGATTTGTCTTCAAAATTAGTGGACAACACTTCCTTCACAGCCGGAGAAGTGACCCGTTTTAACGCCAATTCTGTTGCAGTCGTTAACGGATATAATGAATGATAGACTGATTCAGTCTTTTGGGAATCGTTTTCATTCAGAAGCAAAGATTTAAACTCCTGTCGCAAATCTTGCCGAAAGTCATAGTATTTATAACCTATAAGTCAAACAAGTCATTAGATTTAAACTAAAAATATCAATACTAAGTCTTACGAACCCCTTTTGATGCATTCAATGGTTTTTGTCATTTCATAATCAGAGCGTTTAAGCGAATGCTCGACAATCACGTCCACATCTTTTATATCTTCAAATTTGCTACAGAATTGCATTCAAATATCATTTAATAACAAAATAAACCACAATTATGTCAATCATAGCTCACCAGCCATACAGAGATGTGGTATAAGAGGTAATCAACTCGAGCCGAACGCGTGAATATTGTTCCCATTCATACCAATTAAAGTATTGGTTTAAATCTCTTGAGTAATAACTCAAACGCTTCTCAGACGAGTCGTTGAGAAGAAATATGCGTTTGAGTACCAAAACGATAGCCATTAGAGCCCATCTCTCATAGGCTGGAAATGTGCTAACTTTACGCATATTAATAGCCATTCGCTCTAATCTACTGGAAAAGTGTTCGTAAAGATTGTAATTGTTTTCAATCACCGAAACTATATCTTTGGGTAAATTCAAGTCTTTGGCAAATCTGGTCAACAGATTCTCTAAGTTAGGTCTGGGAAACGTCTTCACACCGATATGTTTGGCTATCTTTGCCGACAATGTGTTAATTGTCTGATAGGAGGGAATGAATGAAGAGGTGAACGTATGAAAGTCATTGGATATAAAAAGCCACTCTTCGGGCAAACATGTCATGCAGTTCTGGTACGGAATGCGTCCGTCATTTGCCCAACGGATCAAATCAATGGTGAAGATGTCGTATGAAAGCAAACGCATCGCAATGTTAAGAATGGCCAGTGTTTTGGGTAAACACATGAAATCAATGAAATAGTCAGACGCTATATATTTCGAGTTCTTTAGATAAGATAATGGTATGTATTTGGCGTACAATTTGGTCGTTTCGGTCAAATTTCTCATCAATTCTTTGTCGAATTCGTCAAACTTGTCGTCCGATTCAAACCATTGGTCCGAAATGATGGACACGTTATCCTTGTCGTCAC